AACCCACCTAAGCATCAACTGGTGACCCCCACATCCCGGCCTATCACTTTGGTTACCCACCGCGGTGATCCAAACAGAATGTTCTTAGAGCGTTCTGAAGCGCTCTAGAACAGCCGCCGGCGCCCGATACATTCTCCAGAAGCGCAAGATGTCAGAGATCTCCGGTTTGTCCTGGTCCGATTCCAACCCTGTTTTGGCTCCGTCTTACGATGCCGCGTCGCCGTTTTGCTTTTTATTCCGGCAGCAAGATCGCCCAGTGGACGTGTATTTGCAAGGTTCGGTGTTCCGATTGTTTCTCACCGTATTATAGTCGCAAGCACGTCGTGGTGATTTCTGGCATTCGTGATGTTTGACGGTTCTTATGGCGTTTATTGGCGCAGCGTTGGTACTCGCAGGCGTAGTGTGGCGCTTGCACCTACGGTCTGCTCTGGCAGGATCCACTGCACTGATGTGCGCGCGTGCGTGCGCATGGCGTTCACAGGCGATTGTAGGCATTGTTATCCTTGTCGCATGCGCAGCATGATGCTCATAAGTACGTCATGGCGTTCGCAGGCGATTGTGGTGCTCGCGAGCAGAGGCCGAACATTGCACGCGTCCTGTGTTGTTCGTATGCCTTTGCAGCATTCACAGATTCTACCATAAACCAGAAGTGCCGTCGTGCTGGCAGGGGCTCTCGAAAGTTGATGCGGTACAGCGCGCGTCCGCATTTACTCGCCATCCAGCGGTTTGCGGTATCCACGTGCCTGTGCATGTTGGCCATGCGCGCACCGCGCGCATCGCACAGTTTTGCGAGCGCGCGCACGAAAACTGTGCGCTGATACGTGATATGTTGAGCGTGGAGTAGCCCAGAGCGAAACGATGCCCCCCCCCCTCCTCCCACATATAGCCCAGGTCACGCCAGAACGATCAAAGCATTCAATATCTTCATGTTTCTTATTATTGTAGTGGCCTTCGACCAGTGCCGCCAATCCAGGTCGCTTCGGGTGCCCCCCAGACTGGGCGGCGACACTTCGCCGACGCGCGCGCACGCACGCACGCACGCACGCACGCGCGCACGCACGCGCGCACACGCACACGCACACGCACACGCACACGCACACGCACACGCACACGCACACGCACACGCACACGCACACGCACACGCACACGCACACGCACACGCACACGCACACGCACACTCACACGCACACGCACACGCACACGCACACTCACACGCACACGCACACGCACACGCACGCGCACACGCACACGCACACGCACACGCACGCGCACGCGCACGAGCACGAGCACTCGCACGCGCACGCGAACGCGCACACGCTCACGACCACGCACACGCACACGCACACGCACACGCACACGCACACGCACACACGCACACACGCACACACGCACACACGCACACACGCACACACGCACACACGCACACACGCACACACGCACACACGCACACACGCACACACGCACACACGCACACACGCACACACGCACACACACACACACGCACACACACACACACACGCACACACACCCGCACACATACGCACACAGACGCACACGCACACACACACACACACGCACACACACACACACGCACACACACACACACACACACACACACACACACACACGCAGAACACACAACAGACACGCATTTCACCGCCACCTTCGCCTTCCCCTCTCCTTTCTTCCCCGTTTTCCGTTCTTGTCCCGTTCCATTTCTCTCTTCCTTTTTTCCCGATCCCCTTCTCGCGCGCACGGACAAATATTACCCCACGCGCGCGCACACACACACACCCACACCCCCTCCTTCCCCAGCAGAGCCACCCCGGCAAACCCCCCCAGAGGCTGAAGGTCAGCTTCGAGGCTGTAGCTGAGGCTTCTTCAAACTCACACGCCACGGAACCTCCCCCCCACGCCATCGGAACCCACGCCACCGGACCCCCCCCTTCTTCCCCGAATTTCCCGCCTTCACAGGCGGGACGGGGGCCACCCCCTCCCCTCCACGCCACCGGAACCCACGCCACGGGACCCCCCCCCTGTCTCTACCCGGGCAGAGCCACCCCGGCCACCAAACCCCCCCCCCCGTTTTCCCCCAATTCCCTTTGTCCACAGGCGGGACGGGGGACCGTACCCCCCTTTTCCCCCACGCCACCGGAACCCACGCCACCGGACCCCCTCCCCGCCCCCTTCCCCCTTGCCCCGGCAGAGCCACCCCCGTCACCCCCTCCCCCTTAAACTCACACGCCGGATCGGCGGCATTGTTTTCCCGCCTCCTTCTTCCTCTTCTTCGTCCATGTGTCTCCTTCTCTTCTTTTTCCTCTTCCATGTGTCTCCTCCTCCTTCCCGCCCTATGATGCGGCGGCGACGACTCACGCTTGGCAGCCACCGACCCGCCGCAGAGGCCGCGCGGCAGGGGGAAGATCGGGGGCAACGACAGGGGCAACGACCGGAAGGGGACGAACCCAGGGGCAGCGTAGGGAAGGATTCGGTTCAGGGTTCAGTCTTGCCTGTCCCTCCACAGGAGTACGACTCAAAAATAGTGAAACTAAACATAGTATGGGGACGATGTTGTTTACTAAGTTTGGCTATTTTCGATTACTTGTTATGATTTTTGTTTAGCGTCCAGAATCAGCTTGCAAGGAGACACGCCCGACTTGAACTCACGGGGAGGGGGGGGAGTGTCCGCGTGTTCCTGGAGGTGTTCCTGCCTCGGGATGCACTGTAGCAGCCGCGCCTCGCCCCGAGAGGTGTCCAGAGCTTCTCGGAGGGCAACGGCACGGGGGGGATTGGCCCATGGAGGGACGCCCCGGCCTTTCATTCAGAGCGTGAATTACCTACCCCGCTTTCGCTTCCAGGCAAAACCAAGCCATACCACGCGCTTCCTCGTCAAGCGGCCTGACCAGTACAGGCTGCAATTTGGCATCGTTTGGTATCTCTTGGAAGCGAGGGTGGTCAAAAGCGAGGTATGTTTGTTTTCCCCCTATTTCATGGCCATTTTCCGCGAGGGGGGAAAGCGCTTGGCATCCATCGGGCGTGTGCACGTCTCCGGGCGAGGCCAGCGCCAGAAGTGCCGAATCATATTGGATCAACGTGGGCCATCTCCTCCTCCCTCCTCCCTCCTCCCTCCTCCCTCCGCCCTCCGCCCTCCTCCCTCCTCCCTCATCCTCCCTCCTCCCTCCCTCCTCATCTTTGCGGGCCAGACTTACATCCATAGCCACTGCGTCTTGGACCTGCTGGGAAAGAGCGCCAGAAGCATGGGCGCCCAAGGCCCTTGCATCCTCACCGCGCATCCTGCTTAGATGGGTCGATTGTATGCCATCTCGCACGAGGCCTCACGCCCCGCGACGACCCCTCTCGGAGCCCCTGTGGGGCACGCGACGAGCCCCAGGAGGCACGCGGGAAGCCCCAGGAAGTTCGAGAGCGAGGGGTCCAGGTCCCTGGAAGACCCCTCAGCATTGAGGATTGGGGCTGAAGGGATTGGGCCCAGGACAATGGCCACTCGAACGGCCCTATCATTGAATTAAAGATGTGTTGTAAGTGTGTAAAACATGCTCCAAATGCGTTTCAAACATGTTTCTTTACATATCTAAACATATTTGAAGCATGTCTTAGACATCTTGAAATGGTTTGGCATAACGCTTCCTCTCCATTGACCGTCCTCCGCAAGGCCGAGGGGATTTGGCCCAGGACCTGAGGGCGCGCCCACTCCGCGCCCAGGACCTGAGGTACGGTGGCGGCTATGGGTTGACTGTCTGCCATCTCGCATCATCATCGAGGATCAAAGACCTCATAACCCTCGCAGTGGGGGCGTGGTCTCACTTACGTCCCCGTCTTGGCATCAGGGATAACAAGTTTGTGCGGTTCGGTTTGACACATCTGCAGAAAAGCCCCCTATCCCTAATGGTCCTTGCCCTCCTGACTCAGGTCCCCTTCCAATGGGTTAGGGATCCATTTCCTTACGAATCACACAAGACCCTTTTCGTTCCGTCTCCCTTCTTGCCCGCAGTTGTCTGAGGCCTAGAGGTTGACACTAATACCAATACCGGCGGTGTGCCGCGACCGAGAAGATGATCCCGATCCCGGTGATCCCAGGTGGCCGAAAGATTACCACCAACACCAAAATCATTGTCTAAGATCCTCCTCCCGCGGTGGACGCACCCCCATGTTCTGGTGCCGGTGACCAGCCTCCACTGCTGATCTCCTGTCGGCACCCCTGGCAGGAATCAGGAGGGGAAAAACACACAGACACAACGATCGTCGATCCCCATGGAAATAGGGGAAAATATGGGAAGTGGGGGGGAAGACGAAAAGCAAAAAAAAAGAAGAGAAAGGAACATACAGATAATCCTGGGACTTGTGTCTATCTATTTGTTTGCCCCAGGGCCTCTTCAAGGAGACCCAAAGTATAGATTGTTGGATGGATTGCTGGTGCTTTTCGCGTGACGGCAGTTCCGGTTAGTGGAATCGGACGGGGGGGGCGTCCCCGGTACAGATCATTGTACCCGGTCCCACTACACCCATCGACTACACGTAAGAGTGACCCTTCGCCAGAGTGACCTTTGGTGCGGGCTCATCGGGCTCCCCCCGATCGCCGAGCGCGATGCGATATAAGCGGCCCGTGCCCTTGGGTTGGGCTCCCTCGCGCCCCCCAAAAGCTGCGCACCAGAGGTCACTCTTACCCAGGGCCACCCTTGCGTCTAGCCGAACCCAGTCCTGCCATCGCCCGATGTCGGTCCCCCTGCCAGCAAGGGGGGGGCGGAAAAGAGGGGGGTGAGGACTAGGGGCGGCGGATATCATGGCGGGGGCCATGATATTTCCCCAGATTTCATGGCGCCCCTTCTTATTTCATTACGTCCCTGGCCCCCCCGTCGGGCCGCGCACATGCCGCCGGTCATGATTTGCACCCCCCCCTCTTTGACGCCCCCCTCTTTGCCGCTCCCGAGCAAGGGGGGGGGGCGCAGGCCCCGGCGGCCGGCCCCGCGCCGCGGCGGGCACCGGCCATGTGGCGGAAGTGCCGCGCCCGCTTCTGGAAGGGGCCGCGGGGGGGCACCTGCGGCGGGGGCGCGCGCCTCGGCCTCGGCCTCGGCCTCGCGCCGACGGGGCCAGGGGGAGGAGGAGGGGGAGGAGGAGGAGGAGGAGGAGGAGGAGGAGGAGGAGGAGGAGGAGGAGGAGGAGGAGGGGAGAGGGGGGGAGGAGGAGGAGGAGGAAGGAGGAGGAGGAGGAGGAGGAGGAGGAGGAGGAGGGAGGAAGAGAAGAAGGATGAGACCCCACTGGACGGCGAGCGAGGGAGGGGGAGGGAGAGGGAGAAGGCCCTCTCAGAGGGAGGAGGGACTTCTCAGAAGCTCTAGCGCCTCTTTGGAGGTTGTTGTGTGTCTTCGGGGAAGGCTTAGACAACTTCTCAGAAGGCCGGCGGACTTCCTAACCTTCTGAGAAGGCCTTCTCCCTCTCACTTCCCCCCCTCGCTCGCCGCCGACCCTTCCCTCCATTTCCCCTTCTGTTCGGCCTCCAGGGGGCCCTTGTCGCCACCGCTGGTCGCATCGGTACCTTTTGGTCGCCCTGCTTCTGGGAAGGCGCTGGCCCTGTCTGTGGATGTAGGGCCAGCGCCTTCGAAGAAGCGGCCTCTGTCCAAGAAGCCCCCCCCCTCCCCCCTGCCCACTTGTGCGCGCCGCCAGTCGCCGGCGCCGCAAGCGAGGGTCGACGCCGAGGATCGACATGAAGAGGATCGAGGTGTGGGGTCGAGGATCGAAGCGAGCCGGAGGATCGGAGGGTCGGCGAGGGGGATCGAGCAAGAGCCTCGAGAGCAAGTCGAGGCACTGGGATCGAGAAGAGCGCAACCTCGGAGAGAGTCAAGGCCAGGGCTTCGGGACGCCGCCTCTCTGCTCCACGTTTCGAGCCCGGTCGATCTGCGAGGGGTGCCCGAGGCGCCGAAACGGGGCGAGAGCGCCCAGCTGCAGAAGAGAGAAGGGCGCCACGATCTCAGGGTCCGAGGATCGAGGATCGGCGGGCGAAGAGCGGTATCAGTATAAGGTTCGTGTGCTCGTCGCAAGGGGCGCCTGTCCCAGGGCGGCTGGGAAGCGTGTGCCCTGATGTGCCACCGCAGGGGTGTGAGCGTTCTGGCCGCCCTGGGACAGGCGTCCCCGACGGCGAAAACGCTCAGCGGATGCCGCTCTCCGTCCGTTGAGAGGAGGATGCGCCGCCGCCGACGGCGCTGACGAGAGGAGGACCGAGGATGCGGAGGGCCGAGCGGCGGATCTTCGGAGGCCAAGGGCTCCTCGGAGGCGCAGGGGGGGGCCCTTGGGGGCACTGGGGGATCGGAGGCCCATGCGCCCGGGAGGCCCGAGGGCTCGGGCTGAACGTGAAGTCGGACCCGTCCCTCGACAGGAGGAAAGTTCAAACATAGTTTTAAACATAGTCTGGGGACTATCTTTGTAGTATGTTTGACCATTCGGGAATATGTTATGACTAAGTGTTGTCTGTCGTAGAAAATCCCCCTGTAGGGGGACAGGCCCGACTTAAGCTGAACGGTGCTTTTGCGATGTCGTGGGCCGTTCTAGTTCAGACTTAACTCGGGCCTGTCCATCTACAGGAGGAATGTCAAACAAGAAACGTAAACACATAGTCTGGGGGCGACGTTGTTGTAGTATGTTTGATTATGGTTTGATTATGATTTGGCTATATTTTATACGTCCTCCAAAATCTACCTGCAGGGGGACATGCCCGACCTAAGTTTAGACTCGTTTCTGTGGCAAAGGTGAACAGAGACAGAACGAAGGAGAACGAGTACAAAACGAGAACGAAAGCACTGTTTCGCTCTGTTTCGCTCGAGCCCTTGGAGACCCTGGCGCCAGTCTGAAATTCCAGCCGGGCGTTTTCGCCCGGCTTCGGGCCTCGGGACCATCGTGGATCGCTCCTGCTCCCAAAAATCGTGCAGAAGGATGATGTCCAGATGCCCAGTCTCCATGTTGCACGATATCGGGCGACGGAATCTATGCATATCCGCTGCCCCCATGGCCGCTTATAGATCACCCAAGGAAGGGCTACCCTAGGGCTACCCCTAGGGCTACCCCTAGGGCCTACCCCTAGGGCTACCCTAGGGCTACCCTAGGGCTACCCTAGGGCCTACCCCTAGGGCTACCCTAGGGCTACCCTAGGGCCTACCCCTAGGGCTACCCTGGGGCCCTAGGGCCTACCCCTAGGGCTACCCTAGGGCTACCCCTAGGGCCTACCCCTAGGGCTACCCTAGGGCTACCCTAGGGCCTACCCCTAGGGCTACCCTAGGGCTACCCTAGGGCCTACCCCTAGGGCTACCCTGGGGCTACCCTAGGGCTACCCTAGGGCCTACCCCTAGGGCTACCCTAGGGCCTACCCCTAGGGCTACCCTAGGGCCCCTAGGGCCTACCCTAGGGCTACCCTAGGGCTACCCTAGGGCCTACCCCTAGGGCTACCCTAGGGCTACCTCTGGGGCCTACCCCTAGGGGTACCCTAGGGCTACCCTAGGGTGTCCAGTAGGGCCTATCCTTGGGAAGCCTAGGGCCTTCAGTCTGTGTAATCCGCCACACAAGCAAGCAATGCCTTTAATGTCCCGCCCGCCCGCCCGACAAAAGGAATCAGCTTGTAATCCGCCATAATAGTAATCAACTTGCAATCCGCTGCCAAATGGAATCACTTTGTAATCCGCCACGAAAGCAATCAATGCATTTAATGTCCCGCCCGCCCGCCCGACCAAAGGAATAAGTTTGCAATCCGCTGCCAAAGGGAATCCATTTGTAATTCACCACACAAGCAATTATTGCCTTCAACGTCCCGCCCGCCCGCCAGGCAAAAGGCGCCCGACCAAAGGAATAAGCTTAAAATCCGCTGCCAAAGGGAATCCATTCGCAATTCACCAAACAAGCAATCATTGCCTTTAATGTCCCGCCCGCCCGCCAGACAAAAGGAATCAATGTGCAATCTGCCACAATAAGAATCAGTTTGCCATCCGCCACACAAGCAATCAATGCCTTTAATGTCCCGCCCGCCCGCCCGACAAAAGGAATCAGCTTGTAATCCGCCACAAATGGAATCTACTCGTAATCCGGTACCAACGGGAAGCAATTGGTAATCCACAACACAAGCAAGCAATCAATGCCTTTAATGTCCCGCCCGCCCGCCCGACTAAAGGCATCAAGTTGTAATCCGCTACCAAGTGGAATCAACCTGTAATCCGCTCAGAGGGGGGTCAGAGAGGGGGGGTCAGCGAGGGGGGGTCAGCGAGGGGGGGTCTGTGAAGGGGGGGTCCCAGAGGGGGGGTCTGCGAGGGGGGGTCCAAGAGGAGGGGTCTGCGAGGGGGGTCCCAGAGGAGGGGGTCAGCGAGGGGAGGGGTCCCAGAGGGGGGGGCAGCGAGGGGGGGTCTCAGCGAGGGGGGGTCCCAGAGGGGGGGTCAGCGAGGGGGGGTCAGCGAGGGGGGGTCAGCGAGGGGGGGTCAGCGAGGGGGGGTCTGCGAGGGGGGGTCTGCGAGGGGGGGTCTGTGAGGGGGGTCCAGAGGGGGGGTCAGCGAGGGGGGTCCCAGAGGGGGGGTCAGCGAGGGGGGGTCTGCGAGGGGTCAGCGAGGGGGGGTGCGAGATGGGGGGCGAGGGGGGGTCAGGTGGGGGGTCAGGGGGGTCCCAGAGGGGGGGTCTGCGAGGGGGGGTCCCAGAGGGGGGGTCTGCGAGGGGGGGTCAGCGATGGGGGGTCCCAGAGGGGGGGTCAGCGAGGGGGGGTTCCCAGAGGGGGGGTCTGTGAGGGGGGTCTGCGAGGGGGGGTCAGCGAGGGGGGGTCCCAGAGGGGCGGTCTGCGAGGGGGGGTCTGCGGCGCCGGGGCCGCGGTCGCCCGACCAAAGGAATCATATTGTTAACCGCAATTCAGGGTTACCCCTAGGGCCTACCCCTAGGGCTACCCTGGGGCTACCCCTGGGGCCCACCCCTAGGGCTACCCTAGGGCTACCCCTTGGGAAGCCTAGGGCCTTGGGTAGGGCCTACCCTTGGGAAGCCTAGGGCCTTGGGTAGGGCCTACCCTTGGGAAGCCTAGGGCCTTGGGTAGGGCCTACCCTTGGGAAGCCTAGGGCCTTGGGTAGGGCCTACCCTTGGGAAGCCTAGGGCCTTGGGTAGGGCCTACCCTTGGGAAGCCTAGGGCCTTGGGTAGGGCCTACCCTTGGGAAGCCTAGGGCCTTGGGTAGGGCCTACCCTTGGGAAGCCTAGGGCCTTGGGTAGGGCCTAGGGTAGCCAAGGCCCCCAGTGATCTATACCCATGGCCGGGCTCTCCGTGGGCCCAGGAGCTGTGTACACGCCCTCCTGGCCAAGCCAAGAGGGCGTGGCGTATGCACCGCCGCTGGGTTCAGGACAGGCCGAGCTCGGATATCAGGGGCCTGGGAGGCCAACAGGTCCGAGAGCAGGTCTCGGAGGTGTTCTTGACTCGGGGCCCGCTCCAGCAGCTGCGCCTCGTCGAGCCAGGGTGCCCAGATCGTCCCGAACGGCGCTGGACGCCAGAGTTTCAAGCAGTGGCGAAGCGTCCTGGCTCGCCTATAGTCCTACCAAACAATGTTCTAAGAACCTTTTGTGCTCTGCACGAAATGTTCTTAGAACATGTCTGGCCAGGAGTGCCTTCTTTAAGCACATCGGGTTAATGTTCCAAGAACTTTGTTTTTGATCTTAGAACTTTGTTGGGTTCTAAGAACATTTCGTGGTAGGACTATAGGAATGCTGCGACGGTCGGTCCCTGCTCAAGAGTTATGACCCGGAAGCCACCGATCCGATGTGTGCTCAACGTGCATCCCGGATGTCTGACACCCTCCATGGAAGGGGTCGATAGTTTTTGGGCCGCGATTTTTGAACACCACATCTCAGGAGGGCGAAACAGCCGACGCAGAAAATCCTCGATTCCTTGGACAGCCCAATGACAGTTCCTTGAATTTTCGTCATGTCGCCCGCTAGCGGAAGCCGACGGAAGTAAAACAAGGTGGAAGACGTCGGAAGGCCGTTGGAAGGCTTGTGGAAGACAGCGGAAGTAAATGAC